ATTTGGTTATTAGCATTTGACTATCGTCTTACCCCAAAACATCAATTTCCTGCGCAACTTTGCGACGCTTTAGCAGCGTACTTTTATCTTACAAACCCTGGCCCGGAAGCTGGATTTGAGCCAATTGATCCAAAACGTATTGTGTTTGTTGGGTCTAGTGCTGGTGGTGGATTGGCTGTCGGTACAGCGCTGTTTCTTCGTGATGCAGGTTTGCCATTGCCATCTGGAATTGTTTTATTTGTATAGATCAATATTATATTTTATTTTTATTTAATCTTTTTTTATCAATCCTCATTAACAATTTTCTCTCCATTTAATGATGAATCGCAAAGTCACCATGGGTGGATTTGACAAGTAGCATGCCATCATATTGGGAAACTGGAATGGACAAATCAGATATGTTACCTGGTAGGTTATGCTATCCTCCTCTTGGTCCACCAGGCCCCATGTCAATTGAATATCTTAAACGCGTAAAAATTCTATCTGAAAAGATTAAGCAAAAGAAGCCAAAGGTGGTTGGACACCCATCTTTTACCAAAATCCCAAGGATTAGGCTTCTCTGCGCAAATGAGGCCTTGGCCATTCCTTATATCAGTCCAATGTTGGCTGAAAGTTTAGGAAATTTACCACCTATTTTATGTGTAGGTTATTGAATCATGTTCACATTTTCTTCTCACCAATCTCATCCATATTAGTTCATAAAATTTCAAACATAATGTATTACGTCCAACACAATTAATATTATTATAATATAGCAAGCAGGTGGCGAAGAAAGGTTACGGGATTCAATAGTTCTATTTGGTTTTAAGGCTTCCGATCCAAGCAAGCACCAAGTGCCCAAATACGCTACGGAGAATTTTGCCAAATCTTCGTACAAGAAGCCCACAAAAGTCACACTCGAAGTCTATGATGACGCATTCCACTGTTTTTTCGTAAGTTTTTCATTATCTCTGTCGGTTTTTTTTTGTACAATATTTCTGATTAGTTGATATTTTAATAATTCTATGAATAGATTTTTCCAACTGAAAAAATTAGCCAGTATGCGCTAAACAGAGTTTATGATTTCATTAAGCTTCATGCAGCTGACGATGCTAACAGATCAGAAAATGACGCTACTTATGAAAACGGGAAAACTCTTAATGCAGTCGCAATTAACCCTAACTGTGAAATTAGAGAGTTGGATGAGAAATATTTAGAATGCCTAAAGTATGAGAACATTGGAGTTTTGCCGGACGTGAATGAATCTGACTATGTTGATAACGTTTAGCTTTTGATTTAAATATTTATAACATGAATCTTGTAAATAATTTATAAAACCGACGTAAATTTCTGTGTAACATGCTCAATAAAAATTTTGTTTGTACGACGAAATTTGTTTCTATACAAAATCTGATGATCCACCAACTTTGAAAGATGGAAATATTTACCTTTGATTCTTAATACAACTCCTTGCCTTAAGAATCCATATACAGGATTATACCAAGAACAAAAACACAAAGAAACACCCTGGACGCATTGTATTTTTTATTCAAGGATAATTTTTATTAAATATTGGACCAAAATTTATATAAAATATTAATAACTTTGTAAAATGAATACATGGATAAACACATCAAATAATTTATTAAGTTCTAAAAGAGTAGACGAAGATAACTGCTGAAAGGACCAAAGTTAAGAAAAAAATTTTCCTCTTTCGGTGATGTAAATATTTGATTGATTGAAAGTATGAACGATCATGAAAATCGATTGTTCTACATAAAGCAGAAAGTATATAAACTTTGGATTAAGGATTAGGGAAATCAATGAGCATTCATGTAAATTTGGACGATAGAAAATTCATTAATTATCGGGATAACAGCTAATTAAGCTAATTAAGTGAAGGAATAAATATTCGATTGAAATTTTAAATTGCACCCAATAAAACGGTTATTTAAGTCAAAATCCATAAAAGGAAATCCATACAAAGATGGTTTATTTAGCCCAAATTAGTTAATATCCGAAATGAAATCCTAAATGGCACTTCGGATATTCATTTCGGACTCCAAATGGCCGTAAAGTTTTTTTTATTTTTTACAATTTAAATAAATATAAGCAATTTAAATTTTTAAAATTGCTTGTTTAATAATAAACTTAAGTCACTTTCCATTGGACATTATCCAGTGAATTCCGATTTGGGATATCCGATATGATTGATCATTTCGGACATGAATGCATTTGGGTTAAAACAGAATAATCGAGGTTCTGAGAATTTATAAAAAAATTCTCAGAACCTGGTTTTTCTAGAAATCATCCCGAAATACGTGTTATTCCCGGATCTTAGCTCTTTAAGACTTTTCCGATGAAAATTTGGAATAATTTATAAAATCTCTTTAAATATGCAACAACTCTCATGATTACTGCTATCATAAAAAATTTTAAACAATCATCGAAATTCTCAAGATGTCCTTTTCTACACAATATTATCAGACTTTAGAGTTCATCAAAAATAAATTTAATGATAATAGTAAAACTTTAGAAGAAGCAAACCATATGATGGATGACACGCCCATACCAATTCCTAATAACCATATCGTGAATGAGGTCAAACTAGATGAAAGATATAGGATCAAGAGCAAGGAATATTTAGAGGTCGGTTTGAAAATGTACGAGGACGTTGTGGATGAGAAGTGGAAAGATTTTGACGATGACGGGTTATACGGAGAGTGGATTAAAGTGAAGGATGAAAAGAAAGAGGGTGATGAAAGTAATCTTGGAAAAATTAAGGTTACAGGAAGGGTCGCGCTTTACTTATTTGGAGGAGGATATTTTGCGGGATCCAGTAAAATATCTCGCAATCATACTTTCTCGATCGCTGAAAAGGCTGAATGTCAAGTTTTTTGTAAGTATTACTTGAACTTGTTTATTTCTGTATTATTTTAGATCGAAATTCATTTAAATACATCTAACTTTTTTGAATTTGGTAATTAGCAATTGATTATCATCTTGTCCCAGAACATCAATTTCCTGCGCAACTTTGCGACGCTTTAGCAGCGTATTTTTATCTTACAAACCCTGGCCCGGAAGCTGGATTTGAGCCAATTGATCCAAAACGTATTGTATTTGTTGGAACTAGTGCTGGTGGTGGATTGGCTGTTGGTACAGCGCTGTTTCTTCGTGATGCAGGTTTGCCATTGCCATCTGGAATTGTTTTATTTGTATAGATCAATATTATATTTTATTTTTATTTAATCTTTTTTTATCAATCCTCATTAACAATTTTCTCTCCATTTAATGATGAATCGCAAAGTCACCATGGGTGGATTTGACAAGTAGCATGCCATCATATTGGGAACTTGGAATGGATAAATCAGATGCGTTACCTGGTAGGTTATGCATGCCTACTCTTGGTCCACCAGGTCCCAAGTCAATTGAATTTCTTAAACGTGTAAAAATTCTATCGGAAAAGATTAAGCAAAAGAAGCCAAAGGTGGTTGGGCACCCATCTTTTGTCAAAATCCCAAGGATTAGGCTTCTCTGCGCAAATGAGGCCTTGGCCATTCCTTATATCAGTCCAATGTTGGCTGAAAGTTTAGGGAATTTACCACCTATTTTCTGTGTAGGTTATAGAATCATTTTCTTCTCACCAATCTCATCCATATTAGTTCACAAAATTTCAAAAATAATGTATTACGCCTAAAACAAGTAATATTATTATAATATAGCAAGCAGGTGGCGAAGAAAGGTTACGGGATTCAATTGTTTTATTTGCCTCTAAAGCTTCCGATCCAAGCAAGTACCAAATGCCCAAATACGCTACGGAGAATTTTGCTAATTCTCCATTCAAAAAGCCCACAAAAGTCACACTCGAAGTCTATGATGAAGCTTGCCACTGTTTTTTCGTAAGTTTTTCATTATCTCGATCGGTTATATTTGTATAATTTTTCTGATTAGATTATATTATTTATAATTTTATGAATAGTTTGTTCCAGTTGAAAAGATTACCCAGTTTTCGCTTAATAGAGCTTATGATTTCATTAAGCTTCATGCAGCTGTCGATGTAAATATTCCTAACGGGTCAGAAAATGACGCTACATATGAAAACGGGAAAACCCTTAACGCAGTCGCAATTAACCCTAACTGTGAAGTTAGGGAGTTGGATGGGAAATATTTGGAATGCCTAAAGTTTGAGAACGTTGGAGTTTTGCCGGACGTGAATGAATCTGATTATGTTGATAACGTTTAGCTTTTGAAATAACTGAGAAAATTAAATCATTTTAAAATTATTAAGAAAAAAAATTTTAAATTCCTCCTTGTTAACTGAATCTAAATTCTGTCATTTAAACTTTTTTCGAAATTTGCACAAACTAGCCAAAACTAATTGAGGTTTATTATATTTATATATAATAAAATAAATTCGTATTATATAATAATTGCGGACATCCATTTATTATTTTTTGTTTAAAAATAGAATTAAAGATTTATAATTGTCAATAACGATAACAAATAAATTCATTTGAGTTCGCTATTTTATTTTCCGTCATTGGAAGTAGGCGCAGTCATTATGATATTTAAGCAACTATCAGAATTCAGGCCTCGTCTTTGAACCAAATTCCTACCTATGATGTAGCAATGATCTTTAAAATGATTGTTATTTGCATAACAATTCTTTTGCGAAATTTATTGGAAATGATAAATATTGTTCCTATGAAGGCTACATCGTCGCCTTAATATTATAGTTTTTTTTTTATGAAGGTCCAATTAAAAGAGAATGTTAACTAACGATGTAGTAAATATAAAAATAAATCAACCAAATTGTCATTATTGGCGATAAAGCTTTTAATCTCTACATTCATTTATATATAAAATTAAATAATTTTATTGTAAAGAATTTAAATTTTTATGAGAAAAAAAAATTCGATATATATTTTATTTATTTATCATAAATTGGTGCTAGTTTCTAAACAAAAAATAAGGTTTAATGATTACAAACTGATTACTGACTGGGTCTCACAAATTTACCATCAACCGAGAAACTGTCAATTACGGGAATAAAATATGATAAGTGCGAATATTTCATGTGCCAAGTGATACAATATATACAGTATATGTATATGACGCAGCAAAAAAAAAAAGGTTTCTTACTTGATGCCAGAAATTAAACATAACTTTTGCATGCTATACAATAAATGACTTATGAATATATTATAAAGACAGAGAATAAGAAAAAAATATATTTACAATATTATGATTATTTTCATTCTTGTCGTCAACGTCATAATTTTGTTTCATTTTTCCATAAGGAATTGTCCTCGTTTCATAGTCATGAATTTGAACTTTTGAAAGGTGCAAAGGAAAGAAGTTATTTTCGAGAATACATTTTTTATTGATGCTAAGTGACGAATTATTGGTTTGTAAATTTTTCACACTAATATCAATTTCATAAATTTCTTTATTCAAGAAATTTATGATTGAATAAGTGGAATCCGGTACAAGGTATAAATTTCCGTATAACATACGTCGGACATGTCGCATGTCGATCATAGCAAATGACATTTATATAGATGTCGATCATTTGATCGACAAAATTTTATATGATTTTTCGCATTTTTTTGACTTTGCGTATAAGCCAACTGTGTGACATTGCTAACATTTTTGAATTTTTGTCTCACAAAAATGTTCGGTTACTTCTCAAAAACATTTTTGTAAGGTTTAAAAGTTAAACAGTTTAGTAGTTTTAAGAAGATCTCTTCAAACAAGTTGTCTAAAATGAAAAATATGTTGTATTAACAAGTGGTATTTAATTTTAATGATAATTTTTTGATTTTAAAAACTTTTTTTATTAATTAAAAAAATAATACTAAATGAAAAATTTTTTTTTTACAGATATTTTATATTTTATTAGAATAGAATATTAATATAGAATATTAAATTTTTTTTAATAATCTTCTATAATATATAATTTTAAATTAGTAGAATATATTATTTTCTTATAATTTAATAAACTTTCTTATTTTTACATATTTTTTTTAGTGTTTTATTAATATTATTTATTTAGCTCAATAGTGTCATTCAAAGAAGAACATAAATTACTTACCTTTAATAAAAGTTATTATTTCAGCCAAATTGTATTTAAGTTCAAAGTATTATTAAATCTTCTCACCATAAAATTTTATAATATAAAATTCATTTTTTTATTTAAAAAATGATTTTTTGTATTTTACATAAAATCCAACTGAATAACACACTCTATAACCTAAGAGAATATTCTTCCTCCCATAATATTACATATATTTTTATTATTAAGTTGTATATTTGTATCTTTTTGAAAGAAAATCTTGAAAAACTTATTTTTAAAGTAAATTTCATATAAATGTAAAAAAAAGTAATCTTCTAAAAGGAAAATCAATGGTTAAAATTGATTGAGCATATGATGATCTATCAATTTCTTAATTAATATAAGTGATAAGTATAATATTTTGCGATAGTTAATTATAAAGTAAAGTAACTCAATTATAGTTACACCAATATTTTTTAATATGAAAATGATCTATATATAATATGTTTAGTATATGATATTCTATATTCATGGCTATGCAAATATTTAAATTAATAATTGATCTTTTTCAGCACCTTCAATATATTCAACATTAAATAAAACTAGGAAATAGTTTCAGAAATCATTATTAAGTCTAAAGCATAAGTATAATGAAAAGGCTAACTTACGTATTGACTAAATTTTGAGTAAGCAGATAAACAGATATATGTATAACTATAGTACTAAAATATATTTAGTCCTTCTTTTCAATCTAGACTAATAAAATATGCAGTTATAAATATAAAACTTAATTATTATAAATTAAAATTTAATAGAATTCTAGAAATTTAAATTGAACATTCAATATAGATTTCTATGCTATATATAAGTTTTCTTATTGAAAATGTATCATATATAGAGAACTAAAAAAAATATTGTAAAAGCCAATCAGCATTGACTTAATTATTTAGCATACAAATAGTATAATTACAACACTAAAATATATATAATCCTTCACTTCACTTTAGACCAATAAATATTGTAATCATCTTTTTATTAACTTTAAGAAATATGAAATTTATTCTTACTAATAATGATGATTTTAATCTAACTCCAAAATTAAAATCTAGTCTTATACGAATTATGTTTATTCTTTTATTATTAAAGACATATTTTATGATAAATTCATTATAAAAATATATATATTAAAACATATTTTGAATAAATATATTGTAAAAATTGCTTATTCAAGTATATTAGTTACATGAATGATAATTATATATATTTGAATGTACTTACAATTAATAATGATAATTATTCTTATTGTAATAAATATGAAGCTAAGAATGTGAAATTTTACACGTAAGACATTTAAGAATAGTGTAAAACTTGCTCAATATTTTACATTTTAATCAAATATACTTTAAAGAATATTATTCACTTTAATCAATTGATACAAAAGTTAAGGCTTCAAAAATATTTAAAAATAATAAGAATTGTAAATTATGTGTGAAGTTTGTTTGTAATAATAAATCATATTATTATAATTTTAAAATATATTTAGATTGTTATAAAATTTCTTTTGGATAGATAAAATAGACTTTAACTAAAATACTTATTTCAATTCTTTATTTAATGTAGTGGAAATATTATAAGGATTGCAGAACTTGTAGAAATTCTGTAAAACACATATTTGATTGTCTCAAATGATGTAAATATTATCAAATAACTTATAATAGATATAGATATTATTTAACAATAACTATTATATTTAAAATTACCAATTGTTCTTAATGTAAAAAATGCAAAAGAACAATAATTATTAATATTAATACATCACTTATAAACAGTGAAAACTATACTATAATGAGTTTATTCTCAATACATAATTTAATAATATTCAGGTTATAGATAATATGATAATTAATATAAAAAAATTTAAATTAAATCATTTATATAAAGCTTTAATAAAAAAAATTTTATTATTTTCAGCAGTTAGATAAATCTCATTTTCTAAACTTAAAAAGTTAGAAGAAATAGCATAAGAGGGATTTAGCATTATTTATAAAGCACATTATTTAGATTATATATCTATATTTTATAATAACCATTTAGAAGAAAAAGTAAAATTAAAACTGTTGCTCTAAAAAGATTTTTAAATTCAAAAATATTGGCTAATCTTTCTTAAATGAAATAATAATTCAATATTCTATATCTAAAATGTAATTTTATTTAATAATCTAAATAATCTAATTTAAATGATATTATTAAAAAATTAAATCATTTTTATTTTTCTGATTAAAAAGTTAATCATATTATGAGATATTTTGATATTATCCAAATAACATGAAATAAAGATAGTTCAAAAGGAAAATTATCTATTTTATGATAAATTTTAGATAGATATTTACATTTTATTTTGTTTATATTATTTGTAATTTATTTTACTAATTAATTTTTTAAAGTTAGACTTGAAATTATTCATAATAAAAATCTTATACATCAAGATATGTATAGTAGAAACTTATTATTTGTTAAATCTAATTTAACAATATATTAATGACAATTTGGAGACTTTGGATTATCACAATTTGCAAATAAAACTTTAATAAATAATAAAATATATGAAGTATTCCTTATATTGCATCAAAAATATTTAATGGTGTTTCATTTTCAAAAAAACTGATATTTTTAGTATTAGTATAGTTATGTGAAAATTTACAATAGGTTACAAGTCTTTTGCTAATGCTAATCATAATAATAATAATCTTATTATTAAAATTTTCACTAAAAAATGATCTGAAATTACAGAAGACACTTCTGTATATTATGCTTATTTAATAAAAAAATGTTAGAATTCTGATTCTTTCAAAAGACCTTTAATAAAAAAATCTGTAGAACTATTGGCAGTTAGTATTGTAAAAAAATAATAAGTAATTTAATCAAACTGAAGATAAATGATTAGTATTAATTAAATTAAAGTAACTTGATTCTAAATTTTCTAAAAAATATCTAAATCAATTTATATAAGTAGAGTATTTTCTAAATATTCTATGAAATTATTTATTAAATCATTTAATATAAAATAAGGTATAAATTATAAAATAAAAATGTTAATAAAAATTAAATCATGTAGTTTTATCAATTATTATTAACTTATTCTATTTATTATTTTTTTTATTTTTATACTAGAATATATTTTAGAAGAATATAAATATAATATAAATAATCAAAAAATATTGTATAGTATATTATATTTATTCAATTTAAATTCAATTAATTTATTTTATATATTTGTTTAGTTCGTCTTCATCAAGTAATAATTCTAATTTACAATTATATAATCAGTTATTTAATATTTAGTGTTAAAATATATGCTATGCTAATATGTTATTAAATGATAAAAACTTTATAAAAATACAGTTCATGTCTATTAAGTTTAACTAATTATTTATTTTTAATTTTTATTTATTAGGATATATAGGTGCTGATCAAAATTATATGGAAACATTTTTTACTGGAATTATGCAGATTATCAAAAAATCACGTATTACAGTAGCGGTCATAAGTATCCGACCGCCTCTAACTCTGGCTACAAGTAAGTAAATTCAAAATTTTTTTTTT